GGGCCGAGTCACAAGAAACCCACAGGTTCGCTTTGGAATGTCGGAGTCTGGGGACGGAGCTTGGAGCGGACCAGGTGAGGGTGATAACCTTCTGGAGCTGCTGATTTGGAACTGCCCCGTGGAGGACATCCTTTGGGTCATGCCACTACTGCTGCAGGGCGGCTGCCCGGTGAACGTGCCCTCCGCCACCGGGGCCGTGCCGCTGGTCACGGCCTGCAAGCGTGGACTGGGGCAGGCAAACCTGGTGAAGGTGGTGTTGCTTCGGATTTCCAGATTGTTCCCTTTAGGACACCAGGTTTCAGACCATTTTTACCTTTTTGCACCCGACTTGAACACAGAAATCACCACCTTTCACTCAATCCAACGAGCACGAAATTGCACATCCGAATCCCGGGTAAGAATCTCCTCAGCCCGAAACTGAGCCAATCGGTCCCACATTCTTGCAGACCCTTGGAGCCGCACATCTCGTGGATGAAATCCCTTGCCCAGCCTGTGCTCGGCTGCGCTCGCGCTCTGCTGCGCTCTGCTGCTTTTTCCCGGTGCTTCAGGTGGGGCAGATCCTTCTGCAACAGGGAGCTGATCCTTTTGCCACATGGCATGGTGAGGATGCCCTCGACTGTGCTTTGTACTACTTGTACCGCTGCCAGTGTCGTCGTGGTTTGCGCCGAAGCCACGGGGTCAGGGGCAACAGATGCGCAACGGACGCTGAGGACTTGGAGGCTTGGTAGATTGAACGGGGAAATGTGACCCCAATCAAAGCACACGGGTCGAAATGGTTGATTCAAGCTGATTTTGCAACTTAGCCACTTCCAACTTGAAGGGAGTATAGTTTGTTGGAAGAGCTCTCATGGTAGACATACGCAAGAAGCTCAGGCCTGCAGAAAGCAGCCTTGGAAGCAACGACCTACCAACAGGTCAAAATACATACCACGTTTCGAAAGGGAATGCAAGTTCAAACAGACGACTATGCTGGCATTGTCTACGCACTACTCATTCAATTGCAGCAAACACTGACTTATTTATACTTATGTTGCTTGCTTTCATCGAGTCCCCCGCCGTCCATTTGAGAGAAAGGATGGGTTCATCCGACATCAGGTCGCACCCGGCATCAACCGGTCGCACCCAACTCTACAGGTCACCCACTTGCGACCCGACCGATTTGGGGGGTTAACCCACCTCGTTTGAGTAGGTCTCCTGGAACGAGGGGAGACCCATGCAACCCAAAACGCTTCCAGGGCTCCACCCTTTGGAGGAGCCCCCCATGCTTTTTGATTCATAGAGGGGATACCCGGATACCCTGCACCACCGGTTGGTACATGGCAAGGAGATGCTTCGGCTCTGCCTAGCCCTGCGCACGGCACGGCTGGAGCGCCGATGCGAGAGCTCGCCACTGGAGCGGGCGAGGGCGCAGCTGTCGGACGCGGCGGTGGTGACTCGGAGGTTTGTGGTTTTGGGCTTCTTGCTTTGGGGGATTGGAGGCCATCGTCAGTAGGGTTGGAGGCCATCGCTAGTAGGTTGGAGGCCATCGCTAGTAGGTTG